TTCGCATGCGCCGTCTTCTTGTTTTGCGGAGCCCGTCTCCGCTTGGTTCTTGACCTCGTCCAGGCCCAGCCGTGGACGGCTGTTCTTCTTTAGTACCGCCGGCGGGTTCATCCCGCGGGCGAGCGACTTCAAGCCCGGCTTGGTCGCCCGGCGATTCGTCGTGCAGCCCGGCTGCACGACAGCATGCAAGTTTTTACGGTGCGGGACGTTTGCAACCGTCCGCACCGCCTACAGCGTCGGCTCCCGGAGCCGACACGCCATCTCCACCTCGACGCCTGTTATTGGCGGAGCCCGCCATTACGGAGGGTGCGTCGGCTCCCCGAGCCGACGAATCAAATTCGTCCAAGCTATCGACTCCCGGAGTCGATGCGACTTCAATACCTCGACGCCAACCGTTGGCGGAGACCCCCAGTACGGAGGATACGTCAGCTCCCCGACCCGACAAATCAATTTCACCCAAGCCATCGACTCCCGGAGTCGACGGCGTTACGTCACCTTGGCTCTTATTATTGGCCAAACCTGATCCAATCAGATTCGTGTCAGCCTCCACGGCTGAGGCGTGTGGCTCGCCTGCTTCATCCGTGCCCCTTGAGACTGGAGACTCTTCCTGATTCGCTGAAAAGCGGGTATCGACCTCCGAGGCCAACGCATTTCCTTCATTAGATGTCGGCGGCAACGCCGACGCTAGCTGTTCTTGCGCGTGTGTTCGCGCGTGCCCAGGGCGCTCCGGGACAGCGGCATTAGGCGCTGTCTCGAGTGGGGAGTCGCGCGCACCTGTCGGTGCGTGCGTAGCGGCAACAGGGCCATTGCTCACTGTTCCGCTGTCGCGACCGAAGCGCACGAGAGTGCGCTTCTCCCATTCGATGACCGGATCATGTCGTGCAAGCCACGGCATGCCCAATACAATGTCAAACTTATCGTCCAGATCCAGGACGATAAAGGTCTCGACAAACTCTTGATCTTCATACGTGAAGCGCACGCGTACCATGCGCTTCTCGGTCTTCACGACGGCACCCGTTGCCAGTCGTACCTCCAACATACTTCGAGGTGTCTTTACCTCCTCGAAGTCAAGCCTTGATAGACTTCGCAGTCGATCAAAGTTATTCGACGCGCCCGAATCAACCAAAGCACGAAGAGAGTTGCTCTCTCTTCGAAGACACATTCAAGATGACATGGTTCGGTTTGTCATCATGCATTTTGCAGTGAGAAGGGTCCTCACTGGGGGCTGCAGTCCTCCGTGTCGCATGTCCGAGCTGGACATGCGCGACCGCTTCACCGGCAGGGCGCCCCGCGCCTACTGGGTTCCAGCGTTTTTTGTTTGTCCGCGACGATGCCCGGCATCGCCGCGTCGACCACCATCTCGGTGCACGGGTGCCGTGCACTCTCGGGCATAGTGACCGATCCTTCCGCAACGGAAGCATCGTATATTACTTCCTTGTTGCTGTTGATAACCAACAGCCGTTGCATTCGAGAGGTCTATTGGTTCCGGACCTCCCGCTATCGCGACCGGAGGTGGTTGCAGCCTCGGCGCATTCGCATGCAGTTTAGCCTGCCTCAGACTAAACTCCTCCTGCATTGCAAGAGTAATCGCAGCTTCGAGAGTGCCTGGGTACTCACGGAAGCGATAGGTCTTTACAGGCCCATCTCTCAGACCCTTCATGAACGTGACGACCTTGGTCGCCTCGTCTATCGGGTTGGTCACAATGTTCGAGACCAAGTACCGTGCTCTCTGCGCGTAAGCATGGACATCGTGCTTACCCTGCTGTAGGTCGAGGAACTCCGCCCTCGACCGGAACTCGTTTTGCGGTGGCTCAAACGCTTGTCTGAGCTCTTCCTTGAAACCCTCGTACGTGCTAAAGCACGTAGGATCCGAGAGTCGGCGTCCATACGCCCAACTTCTTGCACGTCCGCCAAGACATGACATGGCGAACGCAACCTTCGACAACGGGTCGACGATACGTCGAGCCGCAATGGCAGTGTCGAGTTCGACAAGCCAACGGAGGAGAGGTTCACCCTCTCTTCAGACATAGTTGCTCACATTGAGCTTCAGCGATTGCGCGCGTGGTGTCGTCCCGGACGACACCGCGGTAGTAGCAGCAACATCGCGTTGCTCCTTCAGGATGAAACCTAGAGCAACACCGTGTTGCTCTGTCGGCGTTAGCGTACGCAGCATCGTAGCTACAGCCGCCTCACCAATGACTGTTGACAGTCGTTGGAGGGCCTCCCACTCTGGATCCGACAGGTGGGGACAGTCAGCGCGTGCAACGTGAGTTGCAGGCGTAGTGGGGCTTTCCATGGGCACCTCTGTATCCATGGGAAGGTTCTCAGCTCCGTGTCCGTGCGGTGACGTACGAACTCAGGTAGCCGGTCGTTGGACGGACTACAAAGTGCTACCAGGTGTAGTGGGCCTACCTTGGCTCACTACTACGGCTTACACGTATGCGCACGTGTATGAGGAAGCGTAGGTTGAGTTAAGTATACTCGAGATCCACGAGTATACTTTAAACAAGATAAAGACTCCAAGTAGCGTGTTTTGGTAAAAGATGAGGACTGCTATTTTTGTTTTATGTTTCTGACTTCCTCTAAATGTAATATTCTAAGATAGGAATCTGCCAACGGCTGGTTGGCAGAATTCCAATGCTATGCATGTCGCTCATTGGCTAAGAGATGATGCTCTCAGCCAATAGGAACCCTAAGTCTCTATGGACCACCCGTCGTGGTGGTCGTAAATGTATGTAGCTTTTGGTGTGTCTACACCAAGGTCGAGAAAGTCTTTCGAACCTCTAACAGACGTCGTATCTGTTAGAGTTACAAGTGACTGTAGCCACTTGTGCGTGTAACCCTGTTACAGGTAGACCCAGAGAATCGACTTGAGAGTCAACAGCAAGAAGATAGACCCAGCGATTCGCAGCCGAAAAACTGTAAGCCCTGAGAATCACACTCCTTGGTTGGCGTGGGTACCTTGTGTAATCCCTGTCGGATCGTTTGTCTTCGACGGAACGGCACTCCACCGGTTGAAAATGTAGTCTCGAAGAAGTGCGGGAGCGCACGTCTACTTCAGAACGCACCTCCACACCAAAGGCAAACCCAGAGAATCAGATCCCCCGAAACCCAGAATATCACGAATTCAGGGTCCAGGATTGCAGTCAACTCCGGGACTTGGAGCTCAGAAGACACCTTACCCAAATGCCCTCCTAGCTCGATAAAACCAACAAAAACAGAGTATACAAACACCACAACTAGCCGTCAATTATTCTTTTGGACCCTTGGACGGTGGGTCACACTCACACTAGGCTCACTCGAGTCTGAAATTCAGGGGCCTAGCTCCCCTGAGACTCACACAAACGCGCACCACCTCCAATAAAGGAGGAAAATACAATCACTATCAGTTATCTTCCCTTCACACAAGCAGTCAATACAAAATCCTGGAGGCGACTACCTTGCACCCCAGAATACCCTCTGGAATAATATGAAATGGGCTACCACGAGCACAGCAAGTGACCCAACTAGTATATGGAATAGATAAATCACCCCAGGAAGCTCAAGGCCGTCGCTGGTCACCACCTATCTGGACTTGAGTTTGATGGAGCCCACACAGACGACTGTCCTTCGCCGTTGATGTGCCCTTAGCGTCCCGCGGTTATAGTCTCGGGTCCTCCGGATTTCCGTCGGCAGGCTTGACCGAAGTCACTTGCGCAGTACAGGGTAAAAGGAACTCTGTTTGGTTTTTATCAGCTACTTCTCTCTCTTACTTATCTCTCTTCTGCATTCTTCTTCGGGCAAGTATACCTTGGGTTCAGCGGTCCAAACTTGCGATCGGCTTGCGAATCCATTGTCGCACGGCGTCGAAAGTGCCAATTGTGGGTCCTTAGACTTGGTTTAGTATGGTGCAGGACTCCCTCTCGACTCCTCGAAAGTATCCAGTCTGCGCATCTACAACGGTTCTTCAAGGTCACGCATCACTTTGATTGCAGACTGGCTTCGAACTGACTCGAGTCCCTGAAAATCAGGTGACACTCAGGGTCATCTTCTGAAATCACTTATCTCCCACAGTCGCCATACATGTCACACGGGTACAGCCGCGCCGTATCCAAGTCATCCACCAATCAGCATCCGATACAAACCCCAAGTCACAGAGGTGACGGCACATCGTCGGCAATTTTCTGGGGACCGCCTCGTGTCAACAGGCAGTAATCATAACGTGGCACTACAAATACAGTGAGTTAACTATCAAGTTTGATTTGCATCAAGCTACCGATCTTAAGATAAGTAGGACAAGTACAACCGTCAGAGTGGAGTTAAGTTTTGCACCCCTAAATGCAGTGTTAAGTTTCAAGGGGTGGAATTAAAGGAGAAGCAACATAAAGATCTAAGTTATAAAACTGTCAAAGCATATTGGCGTTTATGTAAGTTTGTTGAAGTTATGCCAAGGACAAAGTCAAATTTTGGTGAAAAGGATAGGCTTTTCCAATTTGCTCCCCACAATGCGCATTGTAAGATACAAAGCTATAGGTCTGGGTATATGCTCCTAAGACGCATACTTAAAGGTCTTATAACGCACATTTGCCAGGAGTGGTGCCAATGGTTAGATAAGTGGCGACGTATCGGTTGCGTGTCTCTTTTGTGGGAGTGTTGTGGTTTAGAATAAGTACCAACTTTTGACATACCGATCAGGGCTGTAGGAAAAGAGAACCCAACCGGATGAAGAAATGGAGTCGGCCCCACTTTCAAATTGGCCCTCCGTCTGACGGTCTACAACTACAACTACGCTCAAGACAACAACACTTTCATCGAAATGTTTCTGCAGTATCAACCACATGGTCTTGTACGGGCCCTCCTTGTCCAGCTTGGTCACGTACGAAACCCAAGTGTTGAAATCGCGATACTTAAAAATCTGGTCGTGAGGCTCGTTCAGCACAAAGTTGAAGACGGCGTCCGCGGATTTCTTCTGACGCAGCCACTTGTTGAGGAGGATCTTTTCAAATGTTGCTGGTATATGCCTCCAGTTTTCCAGCGAGGACACTTGTAGCGGCCTTGGTCTTCGCCTTCATCAGCATCTCGACGAGCTTCTCGTCGGTATTTGTGAGCTCGGATGTCTTCAATTTTGTAAGCAAGATCGAGTACGGGTTGAAGTCCAGTTTCTCCACGAAACTCACCCAGTTGCTCAGCAGGGGGTTGGTCAGAAGATTATCCACATCATCGTCCAGCTTCAGGATTTGAAAACATCACCCGCCGACTTTTCAGCAATCCGTAATCTGAGCCTGCTCCAGCTTTCCAGCAATGACCTTCGTATCTGCGCTCTCCTTTGCTGCAAGAAACATTTTGGCCAGGACACCATCGTCGTAGGTCGTCTTCAATGCCGATAGCATCAATTTATCTGCGTTCTGGGCATCCTGTTTAGTCACGTAACTGGTCCATGTACTAAACGCTGGGCTCTCAAAACGTTTCTCGCCTTCACTGTTCAGTTTGAGAATAGTGAACATTGCCTTTGCGTCCTTCCCCTCACCCAGCAGGGCCTTGTGCTGAATTTCTTCCAACCGCTTAGCTACATCGTCCGCAAGGTACCTCCTCCACCCAGTAAGCATCATAGCCAGCTCATCGTCACCGTAGGACGCTCGAAGTACCTTATACATCCGTTCGTCTGCTTGGCTCCCTTCCAGCTTCGTCACGTACGAGACCCAAATACTGAGACTGGGGTAGTCAAAACGAATTTGTCCGCCGGGTCAAACTTACGAATGTCGTCCGCGCTTTGAGGCATCCAGCTCTCGAGCAGTAGCTCCTCCACTTTCTGGATGGCTGTCGACCCATCCGGTTCCCGCTTCGCCGGTCCAATCAAACTCGCGACTACATCGTCGCTATCGCGCGCCCTCATTTTTGCGAGCAGCAGCTTGTACGGGTCTTCGTTCTTCATCTTCACGTACTTCCTCCCAGTGTCTATCGCAGGTCTCCATAAAGAAATATGCCCGAACTTGTTAAAGTTCAAATCCCGAAGCAAGGCGTCTGGAGTTTTTCTCTGGCTCAGCCGGTTCTTCGTCAAACCTTCCTCTAGCTTGGCAGGAATGTTCTCAGTGCTCGGTACGTTTTTCGCCTCCACGATCATCTTTGCCAGTGCTTCATCGCCGTATTGAGATGCCAAGGTGGAGGCCATCGACCGTCCAGCCGCTTCGGAATTCTTCTTGTATCCTTTTGTAACTGCGGTGGTCCACTTCTGGAACTGCGGATTTTCAAGAAGCTTCGTGTGTTGATAGGGGAGCATCATTTTGGTGAAGGGTTGAAGCGCTTCATCCTCAGTCTTTGGTTTCTTCGACACTTTTTCGGCAAGCTTCGAGATGACGGGGATGTCAACATTAAAGGCCTGGCTTCATCTTCCCTCGATTTCTTGTGAGTCCTCAGGTGCCGTTTAGTTTGCTCGTAGCCTGACTTGAAGTCGAGAGAAGCCCTCGGGCTAACGCCCAGTCTCTTCGAGTGTGCGGCCACTGGTAGGGCATTGACGAATGCTAACAGAACGATGAGCGCCACTAGCGCGATGCGGCACAGACGCACGACGGAGGGGAGAACCATGCCTGGAGTGTTTGGGGACGGATTCCAAAGTGAGACGACATCCGGCGACTGCCTACAGTACTCAATGATGTCGCTGGATCTAAAGTAGGATAGGCAAACGTACTCTAATGCATCCAAAGCACTACGAGAACCGTGACAATATATCGTGAGAGAAACTGCTTTAACCTTTGCAAGTTCATCTGGAACCACCAGAGCGACTAACTCATAGTCAGACACACCTTTCCGGAATCGGCAATGGGACAACAACGCATTTTGGCGTACCGTCAATGCATGTAGTGCGGCGAGTTTTGAGAGGACGCAATGAGCGTATTTTCCCGAAGCGGCAGTGAGGGGCACCGATGTCACACGATCACGGTATTCCGACAAATGTATCCGGCCCTACTTCCTCTGACAATCGGAGTCGGACAGATGTATCGAACTATCCGGACAACGACCGATTAGAAGCGAGATTTGCCTCTGACTGACCATGAGACTGGCAATCTCAGTCAGGAGAAGCGTGACTGGTTGACTGCATAATACGAATCTAAAAGGTTTGACTAGCCGAGCGTCGCCGCTATGCGGCGGTGTTTTTTAGTTTGTTGGCGCTTCGCTCGCTATGCTCGCTCCGCTATTTGAGCAAACTGCCTACGCTTCGCTACGGCAGTGGCGGACCCGTTCCTCTCGCCTCGTCGGCTCGCTGCACTACTCTCAATGTCAGGTTAGTAATACAGAGGCCGGGGCAGACCCTGCGGGCCCGCAATATCGAATAATGGGGCACCTTCGCTGCGCTCGGCGGCTAATCGGAATTAGTATGATTCGTACTTAGTGAATAAGCGTGACGATTTTGTGACGGACGGACAGCGCGTCTTTCTTGTTGAATCTTTAGACTAGCCGAGCGCCGCCGCTACGCGGCGGTAATTTTGTGGTTAGTTGCAGTAGAGTGGGCTTTATCCGGTTCAAATGCTTTTAATTTCGATTGTGTGCACGTAAAAAGTGTTGTGTTAGAAGTACTGTTACATAGTAGAGTTACGTAGCTGGCATCAGCTTAACCAATGTTTCCACGTTAGAGTTAATGCAAAAAGAGCTATGTTGTTGTACGGTACGGTGCCGTAAAGCGTATCCACATCGCCACGATTTATGAACCCGATTACAACGTCGTCTCGTAGTGCATATATATAATTTTATTTCCTGTAATGTGATCAAAAGAAACATTGGCATAAGGTACATGTCGTCGTGGTAGGGTGGCTTGATTTGATATATCTTTATACGGTATGTTTACATAAGTCTGTGTACGTCTTGAATTACCAAGTGTATTACTACTATAGTTTTCTGTTAATTGGTTCGTAGGTGTAGCTATGCATTCTATACCTGGGCAATTAGCCCAAATCACAATTAAAATGTCGCTATTCTTCTACTTAACATTCTACTTAGTGCCTCTGTTGTTAGAAAACACCGTTTCTATATTTTGCTACATCGTTTGGGCATTTTCTCCGCTCCAAAAAATGTATTCAGCTCCAGGCTACGTTAGCTTCTACGTGGATCGCTTCAAAACTCAGGAATTCGTCAGTTTCTTGTTCTACTACACGGCGAACATTAGCATTTTAGTGTACCACCTGCAGTACAATAGCTAAGGTTTTAAAAGTAAGAAGTTCGCACCCCGAAACTATGCACGTTACCGGTTCCTGAATGTATATCCGTCCAATAACACTGTTATTGAAGGAATCTCAGCGTAAACTATGATAAAAATCCCCCGCTCAGTGAATGTCAGAATACATGTATCTAGGACCCCACTAACGCATTATCCTACAGCTACACACTGTACCTGCAATATATAAACGGCACTATATGTCCTCGTAACATGAACACTAAGCACCGCTGCAGCAATAATATGTCCATCCCTAAAGGATTACAGTAAAAGTGTTCTGCACTTGTTAGTAATAATCTGTGCACTCCTTCCACTACGTGTACTCGCACTGGTATCGCTTACTTCGCGCTGTTATCGCTTACTGCACACTGCTATCGCTTACTACGCCATACTATCTCTTACTACGCGTTGCTATCGCATACTACGTACTGTTATCGCTTACTACGCGTTGCTATCGCATACTACGTACTATTATCGCTTACTACGCTCGTAACAGTTACTTTTATTGTGCCTTTCTTCCAAAACGCCCTCCGATTTGAGGTCCTACGTAGGAGTCTTGCTCCTACGTAAGACCTCATAAAAGTTAGTACTAAGGCCAGTAAAACCGTGCATAAACAATAACTGAATATAAACTGAGCGAATTGCTTGCGAAGGGAGGCCAACAAATGAGCGTGTGCAGTACCGTTACACCTGTAGGCTACAGGCTGTAGCACATGTACCCGTACGTAGCTCCACGCTGGCATGATGACCTAGCTGCGGTACTGCCTGAGTCTCCGCCTGTACGAGTGTGGCCAAACTATGCATTTGCCACAGATGCTTTCAGGCACACTGACATGATCTAGTCCTACGAAGGACTCGTTAGTCCTACGAAGGCCCGAATGGCCAGCTTAACATGGCCATTCGGTCCTTATTTCCAAAAAGGTACCCTTTAGATGAAGACGGAGCTCCTACGTAGGACTTCCGTAATCCGATGCACAAATCCGAGGTTTAACCCTACCCTCTCCTTTTTAAGACCACCTTTTTGAGGTCAGATTGGCCAAAGTTTCTGAAAGGGCCAATACAGCAAACCTGTTCCAGGGCTATTATTCTAAGTAGAAGTGCGGGCCCACCAGCTATCGCTGCTACGCGGTGGGCCAAATTTAATTAATATCACATTGTCCGAAAAGTACTAGGCAGCGGGGGTGATACATATTTATCGCCCCCGTTCCGCTCGCCTCGTCGGCTCGCTGCACTACTCGCAGCGTTATTAATAACTTTGAAGTTGGGTGGGCCCTGCGACCCACTATAATGCGCGCGGGTGCCGCCTTCGCTGCGCTCGGCAGCTTTGGGGTGGGGCCGCCTTCGGCGTCCAAGGCTGTCTATGTACGTTTATGTGGACCACCCTAATTTTTTCGCCATGCGTGACACACGGACTGACAGACACATCTCTTTCTGACTTCGTTTTCTGCGCCGTACCAAGTACCGCCCCTGAGAAAGAAACACGTGTCAAGATGGTATCTGCATCTGTTGCCCTCCATGGCAGAGCACCTGAGGGGAGCGACTCAACGTCGAGACTTCCAAGAGCCCCTGCCTCCGTTGGACCAGCTCGAGAAGCTCTTCACCAACTACGAGGCAGACATCCCTTTGGATGACTTCCTCCACAAGATCTGCGCGACCCGCCCGGAGACAACGCCAGTGGCGAAATTTCCGCTTGTGATCGACTCGAAAAACTTCTTTCAAGGGGTTGCAATACCCAAGATCATGGATTTATTCCTTCGCGACAACGGCAACGAATTGGTGGAGAAATTGATAAAGAAGCGTGTATTTGGAACGCTTCAAAAGCGTTTCCAAGGTGGACTAAGTCTCCTCGTTCGCACGTCGGCGGACCAGGTAGCTCTTGTCGGGCAGCAAGTGAGCATCATGGGCACGAAATTCCGTTTCACGATGGATTCCCCGCTTGCTCGCTGCTACTACCTGGATGTGGCTGGTGTTAGCTCTCAGGAAGAAGCTAGCGCGATACTACGCGCACTGGCTTTGAAGGGAGCTAAACCCGTCTACTTTCGACCGTGCGCCCTTGACAAAGCATCGGGTCTGCTCAGCAACCTGGAGATACTACTTTCCCGCGGAGGACGTACCGGAATATCTCGTTCGAGGTGGAGCAGTTCGAGCTCGTGTCTCCGTTGGTCAAAAATCATACCGATGATCTGGAAAGAAAGGCATAGTAAGCGATCTGCCCTTCTGCAGCTACCGTCCGCACCTTGTCCGAGTCCGCGGCTCTGCAGCGCCGGGGTCCTCGGCGGCTAGAAACGCCAATTCGTCACCTATACAAATATACACCGCTCCACGCGATATCCAACACACACAACGCCTTGTACGTCGCCAATCCCAGGTGCTCGCACGTGATCCTCGACCCCTCCGCTTCTTATCGGGCCCAGGTAGGCGATAGCTGACTGGAGCTGTCCCTCTGTGAACTGTGCCCACGTGCGCGCACAACTCGCGGGTTCTCCCTTCCGGCGGATGTGTCCGCGGGGTACTGGTCGTCGATGGACGCACGTGTGCACTGTGACTCTGTGTGCACGCTGCTCGTCACCTCGGACCGGGCTCTTCACTTCGATTGCACTTTGACCTTAGTCGACTTGCTACGACCAACTGCTTCGTGTATTGACGTTACACTCTGCTTAGCTCTACTGTATGGGTTGGGCTGTACCCTACAGCGCTATTTCGATACTGACTACACTTTTACTGCCATCACTTGGTGGCGTGGGCGCCATGGGTGCCGGCCAACGGCTTCTGACCAGCACACCTTGGTCAATCGTCGGTCTTGGTCGTTGCCTTATGTGAGGTGGCACGTCGGCGAGTTTCCAGCGTTGCCTCGCTCACCCCTTCGTTCTTCCACGCCCCGTGTGTGCTATCCTCGATGCATGCTCTCTTCGACTCTTCCTCCGCTTGTTCACCCCGTCGCCGCCGCCGTCTTGACTGCTGCTCGCTATCTTTCGCGCCGCTTCGGATATCTTTACCAGTACTGCGTACCCTCCTTGCGTCGTCCGTCCTCGATCCTGTTCCTGTTGTAGTCCTTGCTGCTGGGCCGTCTCTCCTTGAAGCTCTGTTGGTCCTTGGAAGCATCCTGGCACTCAGAGCCTTGACTACAGTTGCTGCGTGTCGCTCGTTGGACTTTGACGATGGTCATCACGTACACTAGCTGCTTCGTGCACGTGACTGGTACTCGCTAATAGCCTTCTCAGCGCAGCCTTCTCAGCAACAGATGCCACTTTGCGCCACTAGAAATCGACTCGGTGCTTACTGCATCTCGCCTTCCAGTACGGCGGCTACGTGCCCATCGGAAACACCAACACGCCCTCGCTCGTCGCCTCCAAGAAGCAGCTTCACCCCAACACGGCTGGACCCAGCGGCGAACCCAGCTTCCACGGGCCACGATGCAACCATACCACCACCTATTTCCCCTTCGAATGTGGACACGGCAGCAGAGGTTCGCACCGAGACAACCCCGAGTGCAGAGGACAAGCGTGGTGAGGCAAGGAGTGCCGAACCTCTGGCACAATAGCCCAGCAGCCAGCCTGGCCCAGTGGAAGCCGACTCGGACCATGGCGTGACCCAGATGGACATCGATGACCTGGGAGCAGGAGGAACCGATAATAATATCTCTGCTGAAGAAGAGGTGACTGGTATGACCGATACCATTATGGTGGAGCAAGTGGCAGGTGCAAAGCGGCAGTTGTCTCCCCGAGCGCCCCTCGAGGTCCTCACCGAAATGGACGATGACTCAGAGCTGTGTTTAGCTACTGCCGACCCTGACAACGGATTGTTACAGGTCGTGGCGTGCCTGACCCAATCCGCGAAAGAGCACGTGAAAACGAGGCGTAGTGCAAAACGTTCACAGCGCGGATATGACATTGTACTGCCACCGGATGCTAAGGGCATTGATAACATGTTTGACGACTTAGAAGAAGCGAAGCACGTGGGGCAAGCAGCTGTGGATGCTGATACTACTGCCCTGGCGGGAAGCCATGTCAAGGAAGTTCAAGACCAGTTGATCAAGACCCGCAGTGCTGAGACCCTCCTTAGATCAATTACTACGACACCACTTGCCTGGCAAATCGCTCTAAGAGATGAAGACAGCGCTGCCAAGTTTGACGAAGTCGTTTCGCTCCATGCTTTTAACCGTTGCCTCCTGCTGTCGAGCCCCGCTAACGCTACTAAATCGTTTATGGAGCCACTCTCAACGATGGGATGGCGAAAACCTGGGTCGCGTCAGGAACTGCTTCAAGCTATAGCTGCAGCAGCCAATGTTTCAAGGGAAACGAAATCAGGATGGCACCAAGCGAGATGCATGGCTCTCTTCAAGCTAATGGGACTGATAGGAGCCCCACCGACCCTGCACAGCTTGGCCTGGCTATCACTACTGATGTCATCTAACCCTGGATTCCTACAGTTCAAGGGTGTTCTCCTGCTTGCGGATCACACGCTACGTGAGCTCTTCGAATCGGACTTTGGTCTGAACCTGATCACGGAATGTCTTTGTGTGACGAGGTCGGTGAAACCTTTACGCCCAGGTGTATAGCGGTACCCCAGAAAGGGTTGACGAGCAAACCTTTTTGGGAAGGTAAACCCTGAACGAAGATTTCCTTGAACGCAGGTTCTGGGGAAAAATGCGGCCAGGGTGGCGTGGCACCTTGTGAATCCCTATCGGTGTCGTTTATCTTCGGGGAGCCTGGATCGATCACCAGGTGGGTTGTCTGTGGGGTTGAAAGCCTTGAATTCGTTGAGCGTAACGTTCACTTGTCTGAACGCACTTCTCCGAAATGGCTGAAGCTCGTAGCGTGGGTGAAGGATCAGGGTTACTACCACAAGTTAGAACCCCAGAAATACACACCACTTTCAGATAACCAATACAAATACAGAGTTATACACAAACACACAGCCGCCACTTATTCTTAGACCCTTGGGCGGTGGGTCGTACACCAGTCAACTAATCTGCGTTCAAGATACTGGTCAACCTTGAACGCACTTTCACACGCGCACCACCCTCAGATGAGGGAAATATACAGATCAAATACAATCCGATCCTAAACGCAGTCAATCAAACTATTCCCGGGGGCGACTGCTACCAAACCACCCGAGATATCAATCGTTAACATGAAATGGGACACCACCCTTACCTCAACGCAATGAGCCCAACTGGGAAATGGAATACGTGGATCACTTCAGCAGCAGGAGCAGACTGACCCCCACGTAACTGGACTTGAATGTGTGTGGGGAGCTCCGCACTGCCCTTGCCCTTAAAGACAGCGGACCCGATTCCTCGGCGACTTGCGCTGTAGGGGGTAAAACGAACTCTCTGATTGTTGTCTGCTAGACTTTTGTGTAAAGGTATCTCTCTCGTAGCGTTCTTCTATGTTCTTCTGTGTTCTTCGCCACACGTCTGGCGAATATCTTGACTTGAGTATACTGGAACTGTTGACGTAGACACTGTCCACTGGATTCTTGCCCAGCTTCAATGTGCCCGCGTCTTTGTGCATAACTGGCTCTTGAGAAACCTTGGCCGCATGCGGCCAAGGTTCCCTAGAACCCGCATCCTTGAAACCGGGTTTCAGAGTCGGCAGGCCTGAACGCAGTGCGTCCAAGGTCTGCGGCCAAGGGTAGGTTGACTCTTCACTTGGTAGTAGGGCACTTGGCGGGACTTCGTCCGGGTGGCCAGCGGTCTGGACACCCTGCACTTGACTTCACTGGGGTGGCTGAGCTCCGGGTACACGAATTCGATGTGCGTTCAGGGCCTAGGCGAGGCGGGACACCGTACACGATACGTTCGTGCAGGTGTTTTCGACGGCCTCAATGTGTCAACCCGCTTAAGGACGGGGGGCGGCCTGGACGGATCGAGTGCGTTCAGGGTTTCTTGTCTGAACGCAGTCTTCCAGGCCTGAAGGGTCCATCCTAGGCTTGAGCGCACTTCGCTCCGCGGAACACAGCCGAATTCCAGCTCAGATCTTGTCGCACGGTGTACAGCCGGGCCCGGGTTGTCTCGACCAATCCGAATGGCGGATTCAGGCGGGTCTGTAGACAGGTGATGACCGGTTGAGGTAAAACCTCGCTCAGTCTCGTCACAACCGTCCCTTCCAGTCATGGTCTGTCATAGAGGAAATTGCATCCGAGCTGGCGCATCATGGCTGGACCGAAGTCTGATGGGGCTGAGCTTGAACGCAGTTCTGAAGCACGGGCAGTTGGCCAACTGCCACGCTTGCGCACGCTTCTCCGCCCTGTCCCGCTTGGTCAGCAACTGTCAAATCTGCGGCCAGACTCGTCTCCAACCACAAACTCCATTCCAGCTTTCCGTATCATTGCAAAATCTTCTTCAAACGCGCGGCACCGACTCACACACACCGACACGGCAAACTCGCGGTCACCCGAGCGGCACAGCGGCATGGCACCGGCAGAGGGCGACGCGCCAGAGGCACGCACGCAGGGGGACGACGCGCAGGATCACGCCAGTCAATCGGGTGACGGCAGCAAGGCGTCTGAGTCGCAGCAAACACCGGCGGAAGCGTCTCCTTCGGGCAACGAGCGCCGGGTGCACTTCACGGGCAACAACGACGACAAGGAGGGCGACAGCGGCGAGGGGTGAGGTCATGGAGGGCTCCACCGTGGATGTAGAGGCCAAGGAGAGTGATGATCGGCTGAACGCAGATCCCAACGGGTCGAGCAGCCTGAACGCACTTTCGACCACCTTGAACGCAGGCGATGAGGCTTCAAATACGCACTCGCTCCTTGGGCCTGGTTGGCGTGAACGCCGGATCGTGTCCAACGCTGAATACGCGGGCCTCTCCGCGTCCAAGCTCGTCCCTGCATCCAACTTCGGCTTCATCGACGGGAGTGTATAGCGTCCAGCGAGCTGGTTGGTGCCACCTCCCATCGCTACGGACACGCCGCTCAGAGTGGTCGGAGTTCCGGCGTCTGCGGACGCAGTTCACAATGGCGCGCGTTTTCACGATGGGTACGGTGGGCAGGAGGTGCTGCAGGTTGTCGAGACCCTCACCGACGAGGACTACAAGGACCTTAAATCAGTCATTGGGCCGAGTGTGCGTTCAGGCATGCTAGAGGTACAACAAGGTCTCCCGTCAGGCACAAACCTCGCATCCATGTTGAAGTCGTTGGTCCTGCAGCGTGGGTTTGCCTCGGTGCTCAGTGTCTTCCGGGCGGAACGACTTGCTGAACGCACTTACAACACGGTGTCGTTCCTGAAACGGCTCCTCAGCAAACACCGGCAGCTGAAACTGGCGCTCGAGTCCAAAGGCCAGACTTACGCACAGCACACGCTGGATCTGTTGGACGTGAACGAGGGTCTTCGACGCGAATGGGCTGCCATGGAAGTGTACTGGAAGGAGGAGGTTGAACGCATCACTGCGGCCAAGCAGGATGGCGAATCCGCGTTCAATCACAATGTCATCCGTCAGCAAGAAGACCACCAACACGCACTGAATGCGCGTGCAGACGAAATTGCCGAACTCAAGGACCAGCTGCAGACGTCTGAAGCTTTGTGTGAAGTTCTGCGTCGAGAGATTCGCGAGAAGACTTTGGGCGCGTGGGCGTTCAGCGATTTCTTGGATCGAGAACCACAAGTCACGGTAACAGGGAACTGGAAGCGCCTTCAGGAGCTGTTCGGACACTTTGCGGACGGCACTACGCCTCCTGCTGGCTGGATTACGAACATCCACGCAGTGGCCATCGCCCAGCCACAGTGTGTCTGTGCAGCTTTAGTCGGCTCAGCGAAGCATGACGAAGTTGCATCGACTATTGCCCAAAACGTGGAGAACGAGCTATTTGATAGTTGGAAATCTCAAAGCGCGGTTGCCGTTTTCAAGCTGCAAGAGTTGAGCGGTCATGGCACGCATCTCTTCAATCAGCCCAAGCTCAGCACATGGGTCTCCTACGTGACTAAGCTAGAAGGGAAGGATGCGGACGAGGAAATGTACAAAATGCTTCGAGCATCATACGGTGACGACGAGCTGGCTACGATCTTGCTGGTTGGATCGAAACAACACTGCACGGGTAAGGCTGCTAAGAGGCTGGAAGCGGTACAGCAGAAGGTTTGGCTGGGCGAGAGGAAAACTGCGAATGCAGTGTTCACCCCGCTGAAGCTCAACGCCCAAGGTGACAAGATCTTTGAGAGCCCGGCGTTTAGTTCCTGGGTCGACTACATGACGAAGCTGAGTCCAGAGAAGGCAGGCGAGCTGATGCTATCGACGCTGAAGGTGAATTGCAAGGATGAAGCTGTTCTGGTCACACTGTTTCTTGTGGTGAAGGAGAGTTCCTCCACGAAGGCAATTGCTGAGAGACTCGAAAAGCCTCAGATGACGCGTTGGCTGCGCAGTGGGAAATCGGCAGAGGATGTTTTCCGGCTCTTAAAGCTGGGTGATGATATGGAAAATCTGCTCAAGTCACCGCTGCAGTGCAACTGGGTGATCTACGTGAAGAAACTGGACGAAACCCATACTCGCTCTTGCTTAGTAAGCTGAAGTGTGGTGTAGCAGACGTGCCAAAACCCGTTAGCTTCCCACTCTCACACCAACAACACCTACACTAACGGGAGTGCAGGCTTGTCGGGTGATCCGAAGATCGCCCAGTCCGTTTACAGCGTTGCAGTGGTTACCCAGGCACCTGCCAAGTCGTCCCAGGAGCCGTGCCACGAGCACACAGCACGCCCCCTTCCTTCGCCGACCTCTCTTGTCGCTTCTTCTTCTCCTTCTCCTTCTCTCCTTGACCCGTGCCCTCCACCAAAGGATGGATGGTGGCTCTCGCCTTTTACGGGGCGTCGATGCAAAACCGCACCGGCTAAGTCGGGGGCGGGCCGAAAACCGGCGCTCGTACGCTCGACGAGTACTTCGCCAGGGGCGGAATCCATATAACCACTACACGCACTCGCTCTTGGACTCGCCGGGCGGCCGAGAACACTTCCGTCACTTCGGATAGCCGATCTCAGCGGTGATCATGATCTAGCCCCATGGGGGCGGTCGTACCTTGAAGAGACGCCGCGTGCCGCTTGTTTAGGACCTCGAAAATTCCACTCTGTGTTTATCTTTGCTTTGTTGGGCTCAAAGGCCCTTCCCTGGGGTTCCTATACAAATACCTAATGAAAATGGGCTGTTACGGCCTCTCCAATACTAAAACCAAGTCTGCTCGCTCGCCGACTCTTCGCTCGATGACCCTTGAGATCTTTGGGATCCAGCGTCGGCGAAACTCCTCCAGTCGGTGTCTGATGTACACACTTGGACCGGACTGGCTTGTGCGATTACGGCAACCTCTTTCTCGCCAAGTCCTCCTCGTGCTTGCCGCAGTGATGCCGTCGATGTTGGATAGCGGGTGTTACCATGAATTCTTCGCTCGCCGACTTCGGTACCCAGCGAAATCCATGCTGCTGCCCTGCATCCATACTCGCCGAGATGTTTGAGTCGACTTGGGCGATGAACGAGAAAACGCTATACCACAGAAGACATCCAAGCTCGCCACCGACAAGCTCGTTAATATGCTCATGAAGGCGAAGAAAGATGCCAGTTCGTGCGTCATTGCTGGTAAATTGGAGGCGATACAGCTGGACAAGTGGCTGAAGGAGGATAAATCCGCGCATGCGGTCTTAAAACTGTTACAATTGGGTGCCAGAGGGCCTTTTCTTCTGTGTGGAGGTCTGGGTGAACTACGTGGCATGGCTGGGTTCAACGAGAGCAGACGATGTGATTTTATCGGTGCTGAAGCCTTACTACAACACAGACACGGAACTGGCACAAATGGTATCCGTAGGAAGGGGCCACAATGACGCGATGGTATCGAAATTCCAAACAGTCTTGATCAAAAAGTGGGTGGGCGAAGAGAAATCTGCGGTCGATGTGTTCGACTTCGTGCTGAAAAGCGATCACAAGCACGCTCTTGAGTCGAGGGACTTGAATACTTGGGTCTCTTACGTGACCAAGCTGGACAAGGAAGACCCTTACACGACGATGTTATTGGTGTTAATGGGGCTGAGGCGAGGCCGATGAAACCTTTGTGGCCCAGGGGGGGTTCGTATAGCACAGTCCAAGACTGTTTCCCAGGGGTAGACCCAGAGTATCGACTTGAGAGTCAACAGCAAGAAAATAGACCCAGAGATTCGCAGCCGCAAAGCTTTAAACCCTGAAAATCACTCTGCTTGGTTGGCGTAGGTACCTTGTGTAATCCCTGCCGGCTCGTTTGTCTTCGACGGAACGGCACTCCACCGGTTGTAAATGTAGCCTTGAAGAAGTGCGGGAGTGCACGTCTACTTCAGAACGCACCTCCACACCAAAGGCAAACCCAGAGAATCAGATCCCCCGAAACCCAGAATATCACGAATTCAAGGTCCAGGATTTCAGTCAACTCCGGGACTTGGAGCTCAGAAGACACCTTACCCAAATGCCCTCCTAGCTCGATAAAACCAACAAATACAGAGTATACAAACACCACAACTAGCCGTCAATTATTCTTTTGGACCCTTGGACGGTGGGTCACACTCACACTAGGCTCACTCGAGTCTGAAATTCAGGGGCCTAGCTCCCCAGAGACTCACACAAACGCGCACCACCTCCAATAAAGGAGGAAAATACAATCACTATCAGTTATCTTCCCTTCACACAAGCAGTCAATATAAAATCCTGGAGGCGACTACCTTGCACCCCAGAATACCCTCTGGAATAATATGAAATGGGCTACCACGAGCACAGCAAGTGACCCAACTAGTATATGGAATAGATAAATCACCCCAGGAAGCTCAAGGCCGTCGCTGGTCACCACCTATCTGGACTTGAGTTTGATGGAGCCCACACAGACGACTGTCCTTCGCCGTTGATGTGCCCTTAGCGTCCCGCGGTCGTAGTCTCGGGTCCTCCGGATTTCCGTCGGCAGGCTTGGCCGAAGTCACTTGCGCAGTACAGGGAAAATTGAACTCTGTTTGGCTTTTATCGGCTACTTCTCTCTCTTACTTCTCTCTCATCTGCATTCTTCTTCGAGCAAATATCTTCTGTTCACTATGCTTGGGGTCCCATATCTTGTCTTGAGTATACCTTGGGTCAGCGGTCCAAACTTGCGATCGGCTTGCGATTCCGTCGTCGCCAGGCGTCGAAAGTGCCAAATGTGGGTCCTTGGACTTGGTCTAGTATGGTGCAGGACTCCCTCGCGACTGCTCGAAAGTATCCAGTCTGCGCATCCGTAACGGTTCTTCAAGGTCACGCATCACTTTGATTGCAGACTGACTTCGAACTGACTCGAATCCCTGAAAATCATGTGACACTCAGGGTCTTCTTCTGAAATCCAGGGAATTCTGAGGAATCTTGAAGAAGTGTGGGGATTCTTGGGAGTTGGCTTAGGAAACACTTAAGTTCAGTATAGAGAGTCTGGATTTATGGTCCAAACCCAGAGAATCATCTTGGAACTCTGGGTCACCTGCACTCAGGGAGGTGAACTCTGGGTCATCGTGGTTTCCGTGCGGCACTGTGGGTAACAAGTCTGCTGCAGTGCAGACTCGTGTGTATCTCCTCAAAGCCACACTTTTAGTGGGTTTAGCGGCCTCCTGCGCGTGATCATGGTGGTAGTGGGTTGATTCTCAGGGTAATTTAATCCTCTGGGGCACTCTGAGCCACAGCAAGATGAGGTGTACTCTGGGATACATTCTCCAGAGACACTTTCCGCCAGACTTTAGGCACTCATCGTAAGGGAAAGTCCGCGGCTGGACTGAGTATTCTTTGAAATCCTGGGTGTGCACTCCCGGGATTCACACTTCCAGCCAGTTGGGCCCATCTGCGGTCAGGTACAGGATTCATTCCACAGCATCACTTTTCTCCCACAATCGTCACTCGTGTCACACGGGTACAGCCACGCAGCATCCATTTCATCCGCCACTTGTCGTCCAATACAAGCTCCAATTCATTTCTAGAATGGCATGTCGTTGGTGAAAAACTGAGAACCGCCTCGTGTCAGGGCGCTTTGGCAAACAAAAACTTGCCACAATGATTGATGATGCAGAAGGTGTCAGTGGTGCGACGCTACTTACCAGGAAGCTAACGGAGGAGATGTGGTTGAGCCAGGGGCAGACCGCAAGGGGCGTTTTCAAGCGTCTAAAGCTGGACCAGGCAGGGACCAAGCTGTTTAGAAACCGAGAGCTGACGACGTGGGTCTCTTACGTAACCAAGCTGGACCCGAATAACGCGAACGAAATGATGTTCTTGGTGCTAAAACCTCTCTACACCAAGAAAGAGCTTGTGATGATGCTCACGGCAGCGAAAAAGGTCGACGAAACGAAGGCGTTTGCCACCAACCTAGAGAAACTTTTGCTGCAAAGCCGAGGAAAGTAAAGTTGAGAGAAATAATGGTAGATTTCTTTTATTCAGTCGTGCAAAGTTGACGTAGTTCTCTTAGAAGCCTGCATCCGTCAATAGGCTCATCAGGGGAGAAGTATTGAAATGTGTCCTTCGCGTCGTCAAATTGAATAAGTTAGTATTCGATGAACAGCTGCAAAAACTTCAAACTTTCCCAGTTTTGGATTTTATCCAGAGTCCATGGGCGAAGGCCACTGAGGTGCATTATTCTCACATCGAATACCTGTTAAATCTGGTTTTGAAAGCTCTTAGTTTTACACTAGACATCGCCTGTTATACTAAAAAGAATGCTATCTAATCAAATTATGCTGCTATGTTGACCCATCCGGTTGAGATTTAAGTCAAATTACCTACCCTTTTGCATATCCTGTAATCAAGTATATTTACCTGTGACAAACGATTTATCTGCTCGCTCAAACGACATCCGTCAGATTGTTTCGCTCAGACAACATGCAGAGTTGATGGGATCTTGACAGGGACGTACATGTTAAGAGAAGGCGTGGCGCTACCTTACGGTTGGGATTGACAAAGCGGGCGTGGGGGCACTGACCGAGAACGGCGGCTTCTCGATGCTGCATTGCGTCTGCTTCGTGGGCAATACACAGCTCGCCTAATGCTGCTGTACGGGGCCTACGTGCTCGCGCTCACGAACGTGCATGCAGCTTCATACGCATAACACGTGCGCTTGCTGTCTCTTTTGCAGCAAGGCTACTCGGCGCTGGCCCTGGCCGTCTGGAGAGGACACTTCAGATCATCGAGCTGCTGCGGTGCCAGGGCAGCGTGGTGCCCATGAAAGAGCCCGAGGGCTTGAAGGGCAAGGTGATCATGCAAGGCTACCGTCGTCTTCTCAATGAATGAAAGGGGTTTCCGAACATGGCACTCAGTAGGTGAGTTGATACCTCACTTTGTCGTTTTGATTCGGCAAGGCGAACCCACAATGAAGACGGACAGTCAAGTGATGTCTACTGGTTACTACACTAACCAGGAGTTCCATCTTCCATTGGCGCGTTAGAGATCTAGTCAAATGCAGCGCTATGGTGATCGACGGCAATTCATTGCGAACCAGGGTTTGCTATAATATATTACTACTCCTACTACTATAATCCTGCTATATCACTAGGGTCTGGACGACTTGGTAGTGATAATACGGTAGACTACAGTCTGTAGTAGCCAGAAAAACGTCATTAGTTGTAATACTATCAGTGCTATTATCACTACTATTTTTCCATACTTCAACCCACCAAGGATCTTCAAAGGCGCGCAAATTTGTTGTTCTCCACCATCCCCTGGTGAAGAGACAAGAGTGCGCTCAGGTTGGCTGTCATTGAGAGAACATGGCTGATACATGCAGCCGGCTTGGGCACCATTCAAGCACTTCTGTCAACTCTAAAAAACATGGTACTGTTTGGCATTATTCTTTCTTGACTTGACTAACACTTTCTAGAGGCAGGTTTGTCAGCCGGTCGTGCCTCAACAAGGTTTTCTATACGGACAACGAATTCCAGCCGCCTAAGGAGCAGAGCCCACTTACCCTCAAGCCTCCTGATCGACTCCGTGTGCGAGTTCATCCATCTACGAGGGTAATGTATGCATGCATATTTTCTGTTGTGAAATGAAATGAAATTAGCGGTTATGTCGGCTGGCTACGCCCGGATATTTTCTGTTGTGTATGAAGACCAAGACATGTTCTATGATTCAGGGAGCCAAGTCAAGTATCAGTGACAAGACTGATCGGTGACGGTGCGTGCTTGAATTACTACTAGCCGAGCGCCGCCGCTACGCGGCGGTGAATTTTTTGTTAGTTGGCGCTTCACTCGCAATGCTCGCTGCGCTATAAGAGCAGGCTGCCTTCGCTTCGCTACGGCAGTGACGGACCCGTTCCGCTCGCCTCGTCGGCTCGCTGCACTTGTGACGGGGCACACAGCACTTCTTAACAGAGGAAGCAGGAGTATACAAACTCCAAGTGAACAGCCGTTCACGTGTTCCTGGTCTGAAGGGGACGACTTGACTTGAAAAGCGGTAGATCTAAGACTGATTGTATTTATAGGTTGGTACAGATTTGGCCTGCATACAAATCCTAAGTTCCCTATAGTTTGTGTCATACAAAATGTATCTGTTGGCTCTGAGGCCACTTGGGTCACTATCCAGGGGAGTGACCGATGTAGCCATCCCGGAATAGTGACAGGGTCACTATTCCATGTAACCCCGTTACATCCTCCCCCACTTAGATTCGATCTTATCGACCAATCAGAGCGAGGTTACGCCGGCGACTCACATTTCACTCGCAAAGTCGAAATCCATTGACAACGGCGCGAGCTCTGGCGCCTCGGCTGCCGGGCCTCACAGAGCAACTGGCGCATCGCCGAGCAAGCCGCAGGGTCTCCACGTCGACCGGAAGCATGCCTCCAAAGCGCAGTGCGCGCAGTGCGAAAGCACCTCCGAAACCGCGGGCCGTAGGGCCGAAGACCAGGGCGGCCAAGGCCAAGGACGAGTCGTCCGCGCTGATGGAGGCCACGAAGGCGGCCGAGGAGGAGGTGGTGCGCTCTCGTAGCAGCACGCCGGAGAGTGGCCGTCAGGCCGGGGCTCGGAGCAAGTCTCCTGACGCCGCGCAAGGCAAGGAGGAGAGTCCTCGGGGCCATAAAAGCCCGGCTCGCGACTGGGAAGCCGCCGTCTTTGACTGCATGATGGTCCAGTACTCCGGTGAGAGTTCACCCGACGACGAGTACGTCTCGGAGGGCAGCACGCACGCTGCCGAAGACACGGAGCTGGCGGCAGGCGACATGACCAACGCCTCGGCCGACGCAAAGGCCTCGTCAGAGAAGGAGGCGGAGGATGCCGAGTCCGGCTCAGGCGACAGCAAGCAGTCGCACGACGAAGTCGCCATGGCCGACGCTGGGATCGTGGCCGAGAAGTCGCCGAGCGACGCGGGCTCCAAGCCCAAGGAGGTGCTGGCATCCAAGCATCTGACGCTGGCACAAGGTCGTGAGCGTGCCCAAGCGTCGAAAGCGGCTGCCGCTGCGAAGGCCGCCGAGGCCAAGGCGAAGAAGCGTTCAGCTTCCAGGTCGCCTCGCGGCTCCGGCTCCAAGCTGTTCATCGACTCGGAGTCTGAGGACGAGGAGGGTGCCGTCGACGAGCCCAAGGAGCTCTCCAACAACCTCGACGAGCAGCAACAGCAATACCACGCTGCTAGCTCGAGTGCGTATGCAAGACAGGCGACTGCCACGACTGCCATCGAGTCTTCTTCAGGCGGGGATGCCACGTACCCGCAGGGCTACTTCCCGCCCGAGCCTGGCACTGCTGCGCCAGCGCTGTTGGAGAAGCTCTCGGCTCCTCGTGGCCTTATCGGCGGGTACACCTCGAGGGGTTCCTATGAGCGTGCTCTTGTTGAGAAAGAGCCACTCTTTCTTGGCGACGTTGAAGTCTCGCCCGGTGTGTGCTACTAGCACCACACAAGCTCACACTGAAGGAGTTCACCACGCTTCGCAAGAAGCCGGAGGACAAGGGTGGACTCCATCCTGTGTGGGGTTTCCACTGGGTCAAGCCGAATGACAACATGACCTGAAGCGAGGTGGAAGACCTCTTCTGGCGCTACGTCCAGCGCAAAGGGTATTCCGACCAAGAGTTCAAAGAACTCCGTGAGGATCGCACTCTGTCCGCAATCCTGGACGTGCGCGAGCTCCGCATCGAGTTCGCTCAACTCGTGAGCAAGCGCAAGCTCCACTCGAAGATGGACGAGCTGAAGCAAGAGGCGAGAGCCAAAGCTCGTGAAGAGCGTGGACGTGGTGCGAGTACGTCTGTTACCGTGCCCCGGGTACCGGCCAAGAAGCCAAGGACTACTTACGAAGCTGCCGCTGCTTCTCGTCCCATATCGCAACAGCCTTCGGGCACTTTGCCTGGGCTGCTCAACGGGCTCCCACGAGTTATCCGACTCAGGGTAACCCCTCCACTTCACGAGCTGCTGGCGCTTGCCATGGAGCCGCCGCTCCCGGACGGCTCGTCCCACGTGGTAGTGGATCTGCCCATTACGATCAAGGAGGGCCGGCGGTGGCCTCGCATGGCCATGGCTACGAGCCTGAGGCGACGCAGCCGTATGCTGGGGCCCCGAGTCAGGTGGTGGCCCTGCAGCAAGAGGAGATTCGTCTTCTCCGGGACCGTGTGTACGTCCTCGAGATCGCACTTGGCGTCGGCCTTGGTGGCGAGGTCAGCCTTGTGCCGTGGAGCGGCTCCGTGAGGATGTTCCCTCGCTCTATCAAGAAACTCGCAGTCTCCATGGCCGTGTGGATCGTCGAGCCGACCTGTCGTCTTACGACTCGCTGCGAAACCAGCTCGCTGGCCTTCGGGCCGAGCTTCATGGCCACGCGCCTATCCGGAGCAGCAGCAGCCCCACTCGTATCAGGCCCAGTTTGGCCAGGGCTCGTACGGGGCCCCTGCGTATGCTGCTCCGATGTACGCCGCGCCGTCTTACGACCAGCGCGCGTATCAGGCGCCTTACCGCGACCCGACGCCGCGCTTCGAGGAGCTGCGCTCTTCTCCACCGGGCCACTCACCGCTTCCTGCGGGGCAGCCAGAGCCAGAGGGTCATGGTACCTCTTAAGACGACCCACGTAAAACGTCGGGTGAGTCGTCATCGACTTGGTCAAGTCTATGGTGTACGCCGCGCCATGCCGACTGAGGACCGTGAAGGGTCCAATGAAGCGGTGCTTCAGCTTGTTGCTTGAGCTTGTTGCTCTCGACCGAGCTAACAGTGTTTAGCGGTAGGTTTCTAGTATCTAGGAGAACTAAATCCCCAACCTTAAACACGTTCATGTTTCCTCTTCCATTTCAGTCAGAGTACTCCTTCTGTTTATCTTGGGCTTGCGCCATGGAGTCTCGCACCCTGCTGATTATGTTCAGCCTGTCTTCGGCAAACGAGGACAGTTGCTTCCGCAAGGTGGCTGGACTCACGTCCGAGACTTGGGAGGAAAAGGTTTTCCGAG